CTCAAAGCTTACGTCTCGACAGCTGGTACAGCTGAAGTTGGCACCAATGTTTAAGAGCCTCTTTGTGTACTCATTTAAAAAGATCCTGTGTTTAGTCCAGGGTGATTTCTCTGCAGGGAACCTCTATGCTTTTGGCCAGTATCAGCTGTATTTTCTTACTTGCTGAATCTATTATCTGTGACACCTTTTAAAAACACAGCCCGTGCCCTAAAAATGTTTCATGTGGCTTTTTCTAATGAAGTATTAACCTAGTATTGCAGCTTAGCTCTTATAAAGGGCTCTTCTCAACATAGTCATTTAAGTAGATTCTGAAAATTCACCTCATAAATGTCTTTGCTATACAGAACAATGTACACCGCTAGCATTGTGGTTTGAGTGTACAGATGCCATCTTCTCAGAGTTAGGATCTGGCTGCTGACTTGTGATTATGGTCACAATTTCTGATGTTGAATCAAGGAAAAAGGGTTTTATTCAGTTATTGTAAGTGTTTGTCAGTTGTAGATAAAGCTGTTGATTTTGTGGCTAATTCTGTTTAGTATGGAAGAGTAGGGAAAAATCTGTCAGGTTGATAAAGCTATCTATTCTGTTCTCCAGTGAAATGAGATGGTTAGTCCTGTTTGCTCTTGTGCTGGCATTCTCCTCCCTCTTCCCTTTCAATCTTTACTGGGAATTTTGTTTCTATAAAGGACTTCAGGCTGGTGGCTGAGTATCTGGGTTTGTATTAGGATTTCTTTTCTCCAACACTTTGTAAACTATGGATTTTTTAAACATTTTTTCTTTCCAATTGTAAGCATGTCAGGTGGAAATGCATTTTAGCATTCACATTACCTACATTTCCTGCACTGCAGTCAGCAAGGAAAACTTCAGCGTGTTTAACTATAATGTTTGACTGCATTTTAATCAGGCGGTGTCACCTGCCAGTTCAGTTGTAAGACTGATCAGTAACAGTACTAACCTGCTTCGGCTAACAACAGCTCCATAATCACATGTCAAGTAATAGAACCAAACCCCAAGTTTTCACATCCTCATGCTTGGATAAACTAAATAATGTAAAGCTGCTTCATTTTGGGGAGGAAAAGCAGCAGCAAGTAAGAAGTAACAGTATAGGTAATTAAAATCAGAAGGCTTAATTTCATGACTCTTGTTTTCTTAGGTTCAGAACTGGAACAGTGAGATACTTGCTAAACAGAAACCACTGGTTGCCAAACCTTCAACAAAACTGCATTTTGTAAATCGACTAAAAGGCAAAAAGTACAAAAACGGCACCACTTCCAAAGTTTTGCAGGATGCCAGTAATTCTATTGATCATCGACTTCCAAACTCCCAGAGGGTAGGTTTGGCGAGCTGTGGAGATCATAGCCTTTACTAATCTTTGTCTGATCACAATTACAGAGAACACATTGCTGCAGCTGTTCATTGCAGTTTTGTTTACCTGATCTAAACATGGCGACTCTGTAAAATGATGCAGAATCTGCTGTTTTGCAGCTGTCTCATGGGTGGTGCCAGCTTTAAGCTTTTCCTACTGTTGGAATATTTTTTTCCTGGTAGATTTTTCTAAAGTTCCAGCTCAGCTTGCACATATATTTTATTTGTAGTTTTTCTAGACCCTGCTTCTCCAAACTGAATAAAATCTAGTTTTTCTGATTCAAACAGTGGGAGATACTTTGAGCGTACTTGTTCAGTTCCTGCAGTCTCCACAGAAGAAGTCAGGTAAAAATAAAAGAACCAAGTCACTTGCTGTAGCTGAGAGATGAGCGCTTTTGACCCACAGACTTGAGGACACAATGGAAACTGTTCATTGCTGTTACTGGGTTTTTCCTTCATGGTCATTTGGGGTTTTGGTGGATTCAGGGTTGAGGAGTAACTCCAGCTGTACTACTCAGAGGAGTGTTTCTTTCTGGTTTGGAGAATGAAACAGTTCTAATGTATTTTACCTTCCAAAAATGCTTGCCATATTGTTGGCATTTCCTCTTAGGATAAATCTGTCTATAGAAATGGATGACTAAAAAAATTAATAGATTTCAGATATGCAAATATCAAACATATTACTGTATTGAAACTGTGGTGCAGTTGTCCTCGTTTTAGGTACTCTTCAGTTCAAAATACCCCTAACTCTTCTCTCCTCTTCAGAAAAACAGTCGAGAGACAATGGCAGATGAAGGGTTCTTTGATCTGTTGAGTCGGTTCCAAAGTAACAGGATGGATGATCAGAGATGCTACTTCCAGGAGAAGAACAGATTCTCAGCTGCTTCAGTGGCAACATCCTCTACTCCACCTAAAACAATGAGAAAATGTAATTTTTAAAAAGCAAAATCCGTATCTGACTTACTGCTTAAAAATGTATTTGCATGCAAGACTTGCTATGGAAAGGAACTGATTCCTAGGCTAACTCATTTTCTTCCTCCTCCCCAGCCTTTTCTACTTCTGTAGTCTCACCTCACACAGATGAATTTCTAGACCTACTTGCCAGCTCACAGAGCCGCCGGCTGGACGACCAACGCGCCAGCTTCAGCAATCTACCTGGGCTTCGTCTTAATCAGCACAACAGTCAGTCGGTCCTGGGTCACCTCATGGCAAGTAACAACAGAGAACTAGACGATGACTTCTTTGATATATTGATAAAATGCCAGGTAAGCTTTTTCCAAAAATTCTTCAGGTTCTGAGTCCTTGGGGACTTGATTTGTGCATCCTGCTATTCAGTTTTTTTCAAGTAAGCCACCTTCTTTATCACGTGTTTTAAGATACAAATTGATTTGGTAGATAAGGAAGAACATAGGGAACAAAAAATTAGGATTTTTTTTTCCCCCAAGGTTTTTTTGGTTGGTTGTTTTCTGTGGTTTTTTTGTTCTTCTTCAATTTCCCTTTCTTGTTTTGGTTTGTTTTTCCCCTTCAAATTATCCAGTGTTTTAAGTAAAGTGTAATTTTGGTATTTATACCACATTAACCATTTAAAGTAACAAATGCTGAAAAAGTGGTTTGGAGGGAACCTACACCTGCACTCTTAACTTACTTAATTTGAAAAGTTTAATTTGAAACAATACAAATTAAATCCTTGTAATAGGAATAAATCTTTAAATCTGAAACCAAAAGCTTTTAGTGATTTTTCACTTATTTTGTTCAGTTTTTTATTATATATATTCCTGTAAACATGCAGCTTTATTGCTTGGCCTGTCTCTAGGGTTCCAGACTGGATGATCAAAGATGTGCTCCTCCATCATCTGCAAAAGGACCAACTGTACCGGATGAGGATTTTTTCAGCCTGATTTTACGATCACAAGCTAAGAGAATGGATGAACAAAGAGTCCATTTACCCCCAGCTATCAAGGGACCAAATTCTAGCTGAAGAAACAAGCAGGCGCGTACTGTATAGTAGCATCTTAGGTATCAGTTTTGTTTGCTGGAAAAACATACCTGCCTTTTTACATAAGGCTGGAATTAGTAGTTTTGTCCCCTTTCTACTAATTTTTGTACAAAGAGCAGCAGCATCCCACTCCTGACCAGTAGTTAAGAGTTGCTGTTGCTCTTCAGAGTTGGCACTTGCTTTTAGCAGTGCCTGAGACACTGATTACTCTATCTCCCTTCTAGCTGTCTATGAACATTAATACGAAATTTTTTTCCGTCAAGGTATTCTCATTGCTGAAGCGTGGGTTCTACCACTGTCTCCATCTAGTGTAAGACCTACATTTGTATGTTCCTTTTAAAGAAAACTTGATTATTTTTTTTCCGATTTGTACCTCCCTGGAAAAAGGTCCTGTTTTCTTTTATACTTTTTTTAAAAATAAAAAAATAATTGAGAAATGGCTTCAGTACTTAGTCTGTCTTTATTTCCTCCAAACTGTGTTTCTGTTTTTTTATTTAAAAAGCCATTAAAAAAAAATAATCAAACCCTACTTTTAATTCTGTTCTGTTTAATACAAAAATAGTCTTTACAAAACATGCTGGGGGTTTTGCTAATATTTAGTTAAGTGTTTCCTGTATTACTCAGTGCAGTTTTACAATCAGAAGAATTTTTTAAGAAGATACACTTGTTTTTAAGTAACACCTGCCGGTGCTGTTCTATAGATTGTGTGGTACATGTCCACCACCAATAGTAGGCTGCCATGGACACCAAGTAATTCCTGCAGGAAGTGAATTTAAAACATTACAAACAGTGAATGTATGTACGCTGTGCTTACTATTTGACCTCAGCTACTTAGGGCTGTATGTTAAATGTATGTATTTTGAGTTAGAAGCCACTGATTTTAACACCAAAAGTGGCAAACTGTTCACTTCAGGTATTTATAAATGAAGTGATGGCAATTTTTTATTGAAGTATTATACACCCAGAGAAGAATCTACAGTTAATTTTAGCTTCCGACTAAAATGGCATCGTAAGAATAGCTATAATTCAAACTATTTTACAGTTACTGAAAATTTTACAAACATTCGCTTGCAGCATTTTTAGCACTGAAATTGATTCCTACTGAAACTAAAACTGTCCTCCTTTTGCTTTTAAACAGAAATGCCAGAATATTCTTCCCAAACCCATGTATTACCATCAGTTTATCATGCTGCACTTCAGTCTTTCTTTTACTTAGTACATCCTACTCCACCATTCAGCTTTGAATTGCCCTAAAAACCCATCAGATTCTCACTCCTCTGCAAATTATTAAACACAGTATCCACGCTTTCCCACCACCGAGGATCTAGTTTTACTCAAAACTTATTACATAAACTTGATTTCAAACAAGCAGCAACACCCACAAGCCTGTTTTCTTGTCCACTTAAAGTTGTATTATCTTAACACCACATTTATTTTAAATTCCAGAAGTAATACATATACACAGTCTCTCAGTTTTTCAACCTACCTACCTTACAGCTGTGCATACTAATGCTCTGAACAAAGCTGGGTTCCCATCAGCTTATTGATGCTCGCTTTTCTACGTTTGAGAACTAGAGCAGAACTAGCAAGTATGTGACAACTAGAGATTAGCCAAAACTTACAGCAGTTTGGGGCTTCCTTAGTCTCCTTCCTGCGAGCCACGTGAGTTGGTCTCTGGCTTCTCTTCACGCAGTTCCACCACAGAACTTTTCCCTTCTAGGTTTTTATTGGGGTCACAGTTTTCTCCAGTCTCTTGCTCTGCTTTGTCTGTCTCCTGTTTCTGCTGCTTAAGTGCATGTTCTTCAGTAAGGTTTTCAGCTGTGATAGTTTCTAGTCTACAAACTTCAGACTCAGTGTGCAATCTATTCTGTAAAAATTAATAATAAGCTATTAATCAAGCAATCCAAAGTGATAGCATCTGCTGCTTCAGCTGCACCTCGGCTGAAGGGGCAGAACTCCCCCAAAGCATGACTGGTGTCTTTTTTTTTCCTGGGGAGATAGTACATGTAAAGAACAACAATCTAGAGTATAAGTCTGGTTTTAATTTTCTATAGTTTACAGAAAAGTCAGCACTGTTTTTCCCCCCCACCTTTCCTCTGTGGGTTATCATTACTGCCCCGGCTGACATAAGTACTGATCTCTCAAAACAGAATTATTTAAGTCTTCATAGTAAAGAGTTTTAATTTGGTAGATTCCTGCCACAGTTAACTATTGCACAGTACTTTTCCAGAAAAAAACACACCCAAGATACCTCTACCAAACTGTTCTGTAGGAGAACAGGGACTTCCTTAACTCCTCTGTCCCCAACATTTAGGTTAAGCTCGTTGTTTAAATATGTTCTAGCAGACAACACTGAAATCTATTAAATTTAATCCCAGCTCAAAGAGCACCAGGACTAACATACACCAGGTTCTGGTTTGTGAGACTCTTCTACTTGCGTGTCTGGCTCATTGCTGTGCACAGCATCAGGACTTGTGCTGCCATTTCCTGGTCTCATAGGAGCATCTCCTCTGTCGTAAGGTCCTCTATAAATGTAAGGAAGCTTCTGCAGATAATAGCCATCTGATTTACTCCCATCATATTGCCCAATGTCTATCTTCTCCTGTTGACTGTGAGGTGGAGGAAGACTTTTCTTCTGAAAAGATGTTAGGTATCTTAACACAGACACCGATGATCCTGCCCCATAGCAGAAAGCCTGGGGGGGGGAGGGAAAATAAAAAAAAGAACAAAACACCAAATATTGGCATCCTGTGGTTTTTACAGAGAATTCGAAGTCACATATCTGAAAAACACTGAAAGAAAAGCTGCGGTGATCAGAACGGCTACAATAAAATTCAAGCTCTCTGCAGTCTGACCCCCACTGCAGGAACTGCCCAGCTGTCATTCATCTTTGGTGCTACTATAAAGATGGTGAAGGCTCTATAACTCAATGCTTTTGTGTACAAAATGTCAATTGTATGCATCATTGTGTAATGACACAAAGAAGAAATGGGAATTAAGCTGCAGTAAACTGTCACAGAGTCTCAGATTTTAAGCAGTTTCCTACTATTTTATCCCACTTAGGCAGTGGGTGAGAGATGTGGTTTAAATACAAACTTAACTATTCTAAAGATTTTATCAAGAAAAAAATTCCCTTGTAGAAAGCTGTTCAGTAGTATAAGTAAGTAACAGATAATAATACTTAAATAAGTTTAATATATAAAAAATAAAACTGAGCTTTTAAATGTAAGATAAACATATACAAACCAGGACAGCCAGGGCCATCATAATTAGCACTGGAACCTGCAGAATGAACGGTATCTCCTTCATAAGGGCCTTGATGAATTCACCAATACCTTGTCCCACGTGCTTCAAAGGCTCAGTTACAAAGTTGGTGAAAGTAATTGCCAATGCCTAGAAAAATACAAATGGACAAATAGCATTGTCACTGATCGCAAACATAAACACGCACGGTCTCTCTAGGCTTGGCACATACCTTTGTTGGTGGAACCAGCAGAACAGGATTTACTAGTAGAGTTTCATAGTACTTCTGACAGGGATCGTCCTGAAACGTCCATTTACTTCTCAGCCACTCTGTAGTCAAAGCAGAGACATATTTTTACTACTTTTGGAAAATATATCTTATGACACAATAGTAATACAGACAGTAGCATTTCAATTACAGATGGAAGAGAACTCTTCTAGATGTGATTCAAAGCTCAGATTTATTTTTAAAAATCTGAGATTAGTAGTGTAGTTTATGCAGTCATGGGGATGTAGGAAGGAGAAGGAAGGTTGGAAAGAAAGAGAAGAAACTGAGTTTTTCCCATGTTTAGTCAAGGAAGTTCTCTTCATTAGCTGAACTTAGTCCCTAGAAGCCTCAGAAGAAAAAAAATCTCACCTGTGGGAACTATTAACGTATTTTGTCCACAGCTACTGAAACAGAAGTAATTCTGAGTGCTATTAGTCATCTGCCAGGCTGCAAGTAGATTAAAAAAGTGCATTTTTCTTGCTAGATTTCAAGAGACTACTTTAATTATAAGCAGAAAGGCTTACTCCTTAAGGGAACTTTAAGTTATAAACAAGTAATTTACAACATCAGTGTTTCTGTAGTTTGATTTTAGTGCAGTGAGAACATAAACAGTCAAGAAATTCTACAGGGAAGACTGAAACAAGCACTCATGAAGAGCTGCCACCATTAATCTACCTTCATCTATAGCACTGGATGATAAATAATGGCTAATAAGAAAATCCAGCCTTCTCAGTAAAACACCACCACTAGAGAGAACAGGTAGTTACAGATCAAATTTCTAAAGTCCACCGTACTCTTTTTCTGGCATTCTGCCCTCTGATCTTCAGTAATGGGTAGAAGAGTACTGGGGGAGAGGAGCTGGGAAAACACTCATGAGTAAGTTGTAAGGAAAAGAAGTTACACCATGACATGCTCTAAGCCCAGTTTTGTGATCTGCTCTCCTTCAAAGGCCTAAAAAAAAGTCTGGTGGAATGGAAAAATGCTAACACTGTGTAATCATGTATTGCCAGAAAAGATTCAACCTACTACTCGTGAAGAGATTAGAGTATTTTGTGATCTTAAATACTATTACAAAATAATGAAACAAGTATTTACCAATAAGGCTTTCTCCCCAGTCCAACTTCTCAGCACAGATGTTATCAAACTGCCCCATTTTTGCAATTTCTGCTTGATGCTGTGCAAAGGCCAGCTGCAAGAGAATAGGAATTACTTGTAAAACATAAACCAAGGAGGTGCTGGGCACAGAACACCCGTGTCCATGTGGCGCTGCACCTGAGCTGATGAAGTCTGCTCTTAGCAGGTTTGGGATAACTACCCAGGTAAATCCATATTAAGAAAAGTTTGCTACATAAACAATTTATCAGAGTTAAATATAAGTACTTCCTGGGAATGGATGAAGACCACTAAGGTGGCTACCACCGAGTTATTCTCCAAAAGGAGTCTGAATTACCAAAGAGCAAACTTCAATATTCAAAGATACAAGTTCAGGGCAAAAGTAATCTGACATCTTGTTACCTTAAAATGTTTCTGGATTAAAAACAGAGACAGCTGCCACGCAATTACTAATTAAAACATCAGGACATCTTCTTTTATTTTTTTAAATAATTTCCATTAACAAATACCTGTATTCATTATAATTTTGCTCTACAGTTTGCAACTGATCATCAAATTGAAAAGGTTAAGTCAAATCATCCATTGAAAAGCTCTGACATTTCTCACTGACTCACTCCAAGTCACGCACGTGGCAGGCCACTGACATTCAAGAGCTGTCCTCCTCTCTGGCACCCCACTATTCGGGGGTCTCACAAGCTGCAGTTAAATTCCAATGACAAGGTGTGAGGACTAAGATTCTGTGGTTGGGCTACCACCTAGTAGCATAAACTCCTCCTCACTAAAACCAATACTGTTGTACAGTCAGCTACTTTATCACCATTAATGAAGCATTTATCTCTGGTCTATCACATGTTAAATACAGTTTCAGCCAGGGAATCTTTAGAAAGAAAAAAAAACCCCACAATACAGTTTCATAAGACTTTTCTACCAAGCTGCTTTGGACAGAGTTCATGCTTCCCTTGCCCATGCAGTGAAATCACAGTTCTACTGCTTTATGAATTTTGTGCACCTCCATGGCAGGATAAAATTTGGCAGGGTTTCTTTTGTTGTTCTTTAAGCCTAATACACCTGTCAACATGCAAAATAAAACATTCTTTTATTTATTTTATAGTCTAGTTATTTTTTTATCTAAACTAACTAAAGGAACTAAATAACCTTAACTCCTTCATAACTGTAAAATTTGAAGCCTAAAGGCCATTAAGATCTCAGAACAACTTACCTTATACAAGTAAAGCCAATTCCATGCAAAACTGATGAGAAAACTGATTAATAAAATGCGTTTTAGCTGAACAAACCAATGGATATGTGTCCAGAGCTCTGTAGCTATTACAATTACAATGCACACTAAGCACAAGAGTATCTGAAAAAGAAAACAGGAAAAAATTATGATCCAGATTTGGAATTTTCCAAGCTTACTGCCAGTACATATGAAGGAACTTCCAACTTTTGTTTTTACCAGCGTCATTTACACAGCACAGTTGAGAGAATTCTTCCTTGCTTTCACAGCGTATCTGCAGCAGTACAAGGCAGAAAAGTTTCACGGTATACTAGTAGTCATTCCTATCACAGCCTTATGCTGCAGTTGCTCTTTTCTTTCTTTTGATATTCAGTTACTTCTTCTTCACTATATTTATCACGTTACCTACCATACTTTAAGATTACAAAATTGATGTAATTCAGTGCTTTAGCAGTATGTACCTGGTATGAACTACAGAACCGCTGCTGCCAACTCCTGCAGTTTGTTAAGAGACAAAGGTACAGTCGGGGTAACAGCAGCAAGACTTCAGAGAAGCACTTTATAGTCTCTTTCCATCCGAAGACCCCTAACAGTGAGGCTGCACTACTAACAGCTTGCTTTTTTCATTTGGCTTCCACGGACTCCCTCAAAACTAGACAGGCTACTTTCAAGATCACGTTAGAATAAAATGTTAGCATATTCTGAATTGTAAAGATTTATTCAGAGAGCTTAAGCTTATTATAGATCCTCAGCTTACCACTTTGAAATTCCATTTTTGAGAATATGGTGTTTTCACATGCTCTCCTCTCCAACACTATACAACTGTTTTCCACAAAACTCACAAAACCCTCTAACCTATAAAATTTAAGACCTCAAATATATACTTGTCTCACCCGCACAAGCCAACAGCTTCGGCATCTATTTGAACAAGAGACAAATCTGGAAAATTTATAACGCATGAGTTGTCAGTTTAAGTGGTCAGAAAGTACTGGAGTCTAATGAGTCAGGCAACACACATACAGAAGACAGGAAGAGAAAAAGAAAGCATACCAGAAAAAAACCCAAAGCTACACTAAGAAAAAATGACCACAGGAATAAAAAAATTAGAATTCTTACTTCAAGTGAATACATTGCCTCTACCTTCAGCAACCATGAAACAAAAAGAGTGACTCGGTCTAAGTACAATGGAAAGAACTGCTTTACGCGTGGAGCTAAGATGGTAACAGTCATTGACTAGATTCGCACAAAGAAACTCAAGAAAACAGCAATTAGAACCAACAAAAAACCTTTCTTCTCCTCTTACCAGAAACATATTATATAGATCAATTCCAAAAGTGTCTTCAAATCTCCAATGCCAAGCATTATAATCATGGTGCTTAAAATTGATCAGAATATCACTAAGTGCATCATCCACAGCGCCTGATTGCCAAGTTTCCTCATTGAGAAACCTGAGGATCTCAGAATACGTCTGTTTTGTAAGGATGATCTCAGCATCGTAATGGACATCACCCACATCTTCCTCAGGCTGAATTAAGAGCAAAGCAGAACAATGATTAAAAGCTACTTATTTGGAAACAGAAGTACATATGAAAAAATGGTATCCCTATGCAAAAACTGATTATACACCCTCATTATGTACCTTTTTGAAGCAGACTGCAGGATTAACATGGGACAGGTTGCACACTATGATTCTATAACCTCTTTGTTAATTCTTCTAAACAATATAAAACACGAATTGAACTGGTTTGTGCTCTTTCAATTCTACAGCAAAAACCTAAAAAATGAATTAAATTTTTAGAACTACTCCTTAACAGGTATTAATTACTAATGTGCTGTATGTGCCCTGATCATGGCTGGGTAATACAGATAGAAGCTACTGAATAGTGAAATAAGAAATTTTACATTGCTAAGTATAATGTTGTTAAATATTTATTTTGCTTATTGCTAAAAATTTATTACTTTACTGCTGAATAGAAAAAAACCCCGTATCTCCAAAGACAATAAAACAAAGAAAGTAGTAAGGTGATTCTTACATGCAAACTCTAGTAAGCTACTATGCCTAGATGGTTAATGTGGTAGAGTCTAAAACAAAGGCCTGAAAGGTCTACAACAAACAAACAAAAAACCAAAATCCAGCTCTTTCAAGTTTAACAACCACTAACATGAACTGACCATGGTATTACTATAGCTGCATCCCAACAACAGGTATTTAGATACATACTCTGAATTCACAGTCTTCCTTTGGGTGCTTTACAGATCAAGTGGCAACTGTTGCTCCTGTGCTAACACTGCTAACTAACAGCAATACTGGACGCACATACTTCCATCATTTTTTCCTTTGCAATTCAGTTCTCCTCATTTTAATTTAAGTAAGCCAGGATAATTAATCAATACTTGGTAACTATAAAAACCACATAAAGTAGTAATATGAATTTTAATTAATTTTTAATGAATGTTTTAATACTTACAAGGCCAAGTTTTCTAGCTTCATTTAAAATCTTATTCAAGTATCGCTTAAAAATATAAAAGCTACGGCTTTCATGTGATTTGGCATTCCTCTTCTCACATTCTGCAATCTGCAATGTAAAGACACTTTTATTCACTTCATGCTCAAACCATCTTGTTCATAGGAGAAAGCAAGCCCTACCAACACATTAAACTCCAGATTAACAGGGGCATGTTTCATTAGTTTAGCAATAAACCTGTGATTAGTACACCAGATAAAAAGTGCATGCAGTTGCGAAAGATACTACTTTCCATGGGACAGTACTGGAGATTTCAGATCTGCTAACAATATAGTTTGAACAGTAACCTCAGTAAGATGAGAAAAAAATAAAGATCTGGATCTCCTTAAATTTTAAGTTTACAACAGGAAAAAAAAAAAAGAGAACTGTAAAAAATACTGGGTAACTAAAGGAACATTAAAATGACATATCCCATTGGGTCTCCAAATGGCTGAGGGAAGCGAGAGCCCAGGCAGCTACACAAGCATCACCGCATCCTCCTGATCTCCAAGCAAACAGCAGCGTGGGGGTTTTACAGCAGCTTCTGAGAGCTGCAGCACTGCACATTACAGTCAGCCACAAAGGTGTTCTCTATGCTCACAACCCGCCCCTTAAAATCCAACAGAACCAAACAACTTGAAAATGAAAGGCAGGTTTCTTAGCTTTTGGCAGCATGGTGTAACATCAATACCTCACGTCTAAAGTGTTGACACTGGACAGAAGCACGTAGCTCCTATCAACTTCTGTTACGCTATAAAATGTTTTAGGAAACAGACCTTGGTAGGGAGAGAATCAATTTTGAATTCAGTTCAAATTGCTTCCAGTCTCTCCTCTGAATAAACAGGTGCCCCCTACATAATGCACAGTCTCTCACAAATGATGCCAGCAATTCACCTGTTCCGTACTATCCAGAAAAGCATCATCAGAAAGCACAAACTATAAAAGGCTGGAAAATACTCTGAAGTTCCATAACAAACCTTCTGTTGCAAGGAATCTACTTCCCTGGAACAACTCGATAAGATTTCAGCATTGACTGTATCCACAGTCTTATCCTCAGAGTCATGATAGTTTGCCTAAAATTACGGAAGAGAAATACACATTTTTAGAACCAAAGAATTTGATCAATACACCATGTTACACTTCTATAGTCAGATCACTTTAAAAGGAATAAAGGAGCTAAAAACTGAGTGTTGGCCTTTGCTGCTAATACTCTCCCAAGGATACTCCAGTTGCGCCTCTGCTGATATTTTAGGCTCCAACCTGACGATTGCTTTAAGTTTATCTAAATGCATGCTGCCTTCAAAAGGTGAGGTCTTGCCCTTTCATCCCCCACCTGCCCTTTCCCCTCCTCTGAGTGTTGGTGAGCCATGCAGTTTCAACAGATTAGGTAATTGGACTGGCTAAAAACCGACTCAGCAAGCAAAGGGGCAGTCAGACAAATTCCCAGCCCAGATGGCCACGCAACCAGCCAGACTGAAAGTAAACACAAAACCCCACGGGTTGCACGCCTCTCTTTTCATGTTCCCTCTTCGCTCTGAAACATCCCATTTTTTCTGTTAATTGCTCAGACTTAGTTTGAGCAGTGCTTCTTCTACACAATCAGGTATGCACATTGAGGAAAGTCTCCAAAAAGGAAGTGCAACATTACACAAATTGGTGAACTCACACTGATACGAAGTTTTGAGGACTTGGCTGGCCCACACAGCCTGCCTACCTAAAACCTCTCACTGCAGAGCAGAAAAGAAATCCTGAAAAGATGCATTAACCCAAAGCAGACACATTTCTCCTTTAAGATGCAGTTCTATTTTTGTAGCAGACAATAGTAAAACTCGTCATATTTTTTTATATAAGCTGAAGCAGCTGGGCACCAAGTTTAAAGATGCCAAAGCTTGCAGCTGAATGTTAGGGATGCTAATGACTATCAGGTAGACTTGAGGCAGGTGGAGGCTGAGGAGGAACTCTGTGGAGAAAAAGAATGCAGTTTGCATTTTTTAAGCTTCAGAAAATTATGTTCTGAGGCATTAAAATGGTGTTATCCAAGACTGCAAAACCAATCTTGAAAGCTTAATTAATGACAAAATCAAGGGTGCCCATACAACCAACTACAGTTTACAGTGCCACGTGTGCACCTACATACGGGATAAACAATATGCATCTCATGATATACATAGAGTCCATCCCCCATAGAAGACAATCAAGATGATTCACCTTGTTAAAACCAGCTTTTCATATTTCATCTTCTCTTCAATGTTCATGAATTATTAACAGTACAGCACTCAACCCCTACGCTGATTCTCCTTCCAGCATTACAAAACACCATTGACTTTCATAATACTCTCACACAATAAATGGAGTTTATTCCCATGTTACTGGGGAACTGCATAATTTGAGTAAAATATAATCATTAACTTTAATTCCCCCAACTTTTACCAGCTAGGAACTTAATTTTCAAGATATTTAACACTATACTCGAGAAACTAGCAAGAC